GAAGTCGGGGTTCGGCCCTCCGTCGCCTCGGCACGGCTGGAAGAAAATGGGGGAAGGTTCCTCTTCCTCGGGAAAGGTCAGGAACTTCACAGCCGAAACGAGACGAACAATAGAATTCTTATCGGTATACCGAGAATACACACTGCCAACCTCCCCGTGCACCCATGAATACCCAGGGGTCCCTATGGGAGCAAAACGCCTGGAAGCCCCGCCACCCCTGCTCGGATGACCATCAGAGACTATCGCAGACGAAGAGTCACTCCCACTCTGCGACGGTTTGGACCTGGAAACGGACTCTACATTATCTGCCCCATTGGAAGCCGAGGTCGATACGTCGTGTCGGTCCGGTGCTGCTCGCGACCCGGTTCCGGCAGAATCACTTGTGTCCCCAGAGGAGCCGATTTGAACAACATCTACATCCGCCATGTTAACGTACCTAGAAGTGGATCTTGATTGGCCTCGATGAAAGAACGCTTGAACGCTACAGCTGCACTGTGACTTCGACACGGAGAAAACAATAAACGCGTACCTTTGGGTCCCCACCACACGCATATTTATAGGCGTTCCTTGCAACTATGTCAAACGCCACACCCCTTTGCACATCGTTGGATCAATTAGATCCAATGGTCTACAATGCGTAACCCTTCGCATGCGTCATCAATGCCCAACGGTTACAACCCTTCGCATTCCACCAGCAGTTGTAACCCTTCGCATGCGTCATCAATGCCCAACGGTTACAACCCTTCGCATTCCACCAGCAGTTGTAACCCTTCGCATGCGTCATCAATGCCCAACGGTTAAAACCCTTCGCGTTCCACCAGCAGTTGTAACCGTTAATTTGTACAAGTCTTCCCTCAAAGGGAACAACCCTCCGTATTCCAAAGACACACACATACCCTATGGTCACGACTCCCCACATTCCCTACTAATTTCCACAACCGAAACATCAAATTTACCCTTTGCGTCGTTTCACTCCTGAAGGCTGGGGGGCTTGTGTACCGGAGGGATCCTATCGGTCACGTGGACCAACACGTGCCGTTCTGTCAGACACCCATGCGGACTGAAAACAACCATGCCCACACAAACCTCGACGTTAACATCGGCTCAGCATACAGCCGAAAGCCGAGAAGAGTCTGCTAGCAATCTTGGCCCGGTTGAAGACCGATAAGAATAACACCATGATGCATCTCCATATGCTATGTATCGGCTCGGCCAAGCGCCGACCGAGTAGGATAACCGAACAAATACCTGTCAGCCCGGCCAACGGCCGAAGACGTCCAGCATCCCAAGCCTTTACCTGTTGGCTCGGCAATGAGTCGAGGGATAAAATAAGGATTACGGTATTGATCACGGTTAACAAGGACAAACGCATGATTAAGACATAATCAGCCGATTAGCGTCATATTTCCTAATTTGGTAAGCTTCAGAAGAGGCCCATTACTGACAAGGCCCATCAGAGGTAGTATAAGTAGGTCACTTATATCAAGGTACGTCACTATTCATTTTATTACCCTAGAAAATCGTGTTTGTCCTGACTTGAGCGTCGGAGTGCCTTTTGCAGGTACCTCCCCCTCCGAAGAATCCACTTGAAGCCCCCGTTCGGCCCTTCACCTCCCAAAAGATTACGAGTGTGCCCTCAGACAGGTACAATTTATAATCACCATGAAAATAAAGTTGAGAAAAACTAATATCCATTTATAATAGAGTAGAAACAAAAAGAATAGTACTTTATACTAAAATTTGTGCACCAACATCAATAATCAGTAATAGATAACGATTCAAGAGCTTAAAATATGAGAAATGATATTTATTTATTAAATTTTGTCCAAATTTAAAAAACTCATAATAGATCCTTAATTCAACAATGGATTAAATTTTTTCTAAGTTCAGACAAACTAATATTAGGTCATTAATCAAACAATGGATTCATATGTTAACAATCATGTATTCAATATTACATAAAGTTATGCCTAATTAAATTATTCTAATAATGTATAAATGATTTAGATATTTATGTATATGATAGTGTATAGATCTTTAATGTGTAATGATTAAAGGATAACTCTATTTTGTGATGGATTTAAATAAAAATATCAAAAAATGATCTTATGATTTTCTATAAATAGGTTAAGTCTCAAAATAATAATATTTTTTTTTCTCGACACTATCATAAAAAGATAAAGGGATAATTAAAAAGTTCTCTCAAGTTCAATTTGCAATGTTTATACATTGTTACGAGTTTAGGTACGCCTTTTGCTTATATTTTATAGTGATTAACATGATAAGATCTTGATACCAAATGTTAAAACTAAACTTAAGTCTTTGATGAAATTTAGCATATAATAGAGGATCATTCGTATCTCTAATAATTACACAAATAATTATATTTTTTTAAATATATTTTCTCCACTTTATTTTTTATCTATAAGGAGTTTCTGCATAACCAAATAAACAAAAAAAATTTTAAAAAAATAGAGATAAAATGATTATTTAAAAATATATTTCCTTTATTAATAGTTATAGATATATAACTCTTAAACTATCATATTTTCGTATTTTTCTCTCCTACATGTATACAAAAAACTAAACAATTTAAAGGAAGAGTTGTTTATATAAACAATTCTCTTTAATTTAAATCAACCTAAAATTATATATGACATATTAAAATAATATTGTATTATTAACTAACACATAAACAACTCTGGTTGAAAATACTCTTTTAAAAAATACTACCATTTTTAAAAAAAATTGTGTTTTATAACGATGACTCGAGAGTAAGATTTATTTATTTTATTTTTTTACAATAACTCAACTCTTTTAACTCAAAGGTATGCGACATTGTTAATTGAATTATTATTAAATTAATAATATATTGAAAATAGATTTTTAATTATTATTTATTCACCAATGAAGGGAGAAATAAGAAGGGAAGGAGAAGTTGTGAATTTGTATTCTTCTATTTAACGGAATATTCAATTCAGCAAGTCCCCACCACGTGCTTCGTTGGCTCGTCCTCGTTCTGAAGAAATTTCTTTTGATAACATAAGATACCTCACCACGTCAATTAGGATCATTCCTCGAACTTAGAAGCCACAATTATTTATTTATTTATTTTTAAATTACATGTATCTTTTAATTAAAGATGTTCTTTTAAATATTTCATACAATTACATATAACACTTGAAACATATGATTACATTAAAACAATTTAATATTAATCAATCTACTTATTTCGTTTTTTATATATATGATTCCGTTAACATTATAGTATAGAATTTGTGAATTGATATTTTAAAATTTTTTTATAAAATATAAATTTAATCTATTTTTTGTCCTTATAAAATGAGTAAATTTTGCTTTTACTTCCTGTAATTTAATTTATTTTATTTTCATCTTTGCAAAATCTAAAATCACTATTTTTTTATCTTTAACAATAATTTTATGGTAGATAAATAATATATATTCTAAAAATTTATAAAAAATTTAGAAGTGTCATACTTAACATCGTATCATTAACATGTGTAAGTGACACTTGAGATGATCACTTGACCCTTTAATAAATAAAAAAATAAAATAAAATAACTACATAATATAAGAGACTAAAAACAATAGTCTAAGTTTTAGAAGAATGAAAAAAATAAAATAAAATAAAATAAAATCAAAACTTACTCATTTTATAGAAACTAACAATATATTTAAACTTTAACATTAAAATACTGAAACGGTTGAACAAATTAATAAAAAATGTAAAAAAGTTCAAAAGAACGAAGACACTAAAATATGATATTTTCTTTATTAATGTTATAAATTATAAATACCAATATGATTGAGATATTTTATATTTCTACACATTTTATTTTAATGAAATGTAAAATAAGAAGAAAAAAAGAAATTTAAAATAAGAGAAGTAGTGAGTTATATACATGTTACAACTACTATAATAGAAAGTGTTCCATTTAAATTTTTGTGTTTATATATTAATCGTTATTTTATTTGATGAAGAGAGTGTATAAATAATAAAAAAAGAATAAAACTACAAATATTTTAAATAAATATAAATAATTTCTCCCGCTCTATATATATAGTGCCACGAAGATCAAATCAAACTGATCCAGTTGTAATTGGTTGCAGAGTGTCGTGCAGCAATTTAAATTAATTAACTAATTAATTAATATAATAGTAAAAGTTATTATATTACCTTGCACAAAAAGCATGTTTTCTGTCGTTAGTTTGATAAATAAAAAATAGAACATCCATATACCAAAAACACCTTATCACCTTTTGATATTATTGAGATAAATTATAGATTTACCTGTTAATTATAAAAAAAATATGTTTTGTTACCATAGTTCCATGAATTTCAAGAATTTCCTTTTTTAACCACAACAAATATTTTGTTACCATAACAAATTATACACACAGAAAGAATGTTTTATGCGGTTACTTTGGTAAATAAAGGATAAAACATGCATAACAAATTATACATATCAAAAACACGTTATCATTTTTAAATATTGTTTTACGTGTTAATTATAAAAAATATGCTTTGGTACCATAGTTTTAGGAATCTCCTTTTTGTTTTCCCTATCCCTAAGAATCAAATTTAAAGTACCAAAGATTATAACAATCTAATAATTTATATTTTATCCACAGTTTAATCAATTGAACTAAACTAAAAAAACTCTTTATGATCTGTTTAATGATCAGAATAAACCAAAATAATTATTTTATTTTATCCGATCTGCTCACCAAATCAAACGTTGATAAATATTGTACATCAGATACACCAACAATAATTAAAAAAAATAGATACTTACAACTATTATTTTAATTTGTATACTTTTTTTTTTATCAATCTGAAATATATGAGCTAAATATTTATTTATATATAATTAAAAGATTTAATTTAATTTTTTGCATTTAACAAAGAAACTGACATGGACTAACGAACAGAACAGAAAACTAAAATGTAACCTTAAATGAAAACGATAATATTTTTGAATAATTAGGAAGGAGACGTAGGAAATAAATGTTGGGAAGAGAGAAAAAGCGCGTCTTGTCTTCTCCGGTGAATCGAAGTTGGTCCCAAGCCACTCATCAATCAACCGTGTTACCTTTTCTCACTGTTTATTAATTTATTAATGCTTCCAATTTTCTTGCTTCATTCATTCACACTTTACAAATATTCAGCTTCTTTTTCTCCTACGTACGTACCCATATAAAACGACGAACCAAGGCATCTTTTTTCACCATTCACGCTTCTGCCCTCTTAGTACTACTTCTCATCTCCCTCTGTGAGTGCTTCTACGCCTTTTTTTTTTATTAGTTTTTTTTTTTCAATTTGGAATCGTTTTTTTTATCCCTTCATTTTGATCAAGTACTGAACTTTTTGGAATATTAGTGAAACCCATCTCAAGTAAGGAATCTGGGTTTGATCGGAGGGGTTCTTAATTTGCTCCTTGTCTTATGGACTTGATTTTATGTGTTCTTGAGAAGAATAGAATAACCATGGCAAAATACTGACTCTTTTTGGTTGAATTCTCTGAATGCCTGTGTGTTTTTTGCTGTTGAACTTTGGTCATATTCCTGTTGTTTCTTCGGTTTATGTTCCCATCATTTTCCCCCTGTTGTGAAGAACTGACTCAGTTGAGAATTTGAGATGATTCTGACTAAATTCCCATTATTTTCTGGAAAAATATGTGGATCAACTCTTGCTATTTGTACTCCTGCCTCTATTATTCAAATGTACTCAGGTACCAAAAGTAATTATGATGATGTTTTCCTGGTGGGAGGGAGCAGTTCCTTCGTCTTTGTTGCTTTTAATAACTTTGGTACTGTTTGGATAAATTGAGAATAAAATAACAAGATAAAATGAATTGAACTTCTCTCATAAGCTAAGATCAATTTATGCACTTCAGCTTTTGAATAAGTCAAACGAGAGAGTCTCTACAAAAGTCAAGTGCCTAAGTTGATTTAGCTCACGGGAGAAGCTAAATTTATCTTACTTTCTTATCTTTTTCTCTTATAAAAATTTATAGAGAAGTTTGTCCAAACAGGATTTTAGTATGCCCTTCTTTCTTTTCTTGCCTAATTCTATGCATCATTGGTATCTATTAACGTTTTCTTCATCTGAACCTGACCTGTTAAATTTTGTCCCCTCATAACTTGTGTACTTGGGAATATCCAGTACGCAGTCTTAACCGAGTGATTAGAACTTTAAGAAAGATAGCAGGAACACATACTTGCTAAAGCAAGTATAAGTAACTGATCAGTTTCTTAACATTAACAGGTTCCTCGAGCCATAGTTGGCTGCCCACCATGGCAGAAGATACTACTGCCCTAAGTTATTGGTTGAATTGGAGGTTCTTCCTATGTGCAGTATTTATTTTAATGACTATGGGTCTAGCATCATTTTTGATATGGAAGTATGAAGAATTCAATAAATTGAGGAATGAGAGAAGAGAAAGGCAGCGAGAAACAGCTGGTTCGCTTTATGAGGATGAAGCATGGAATACATGTCTTAAAGGAATTCATCCTGCTTGGCTGCTTGCTTTCAGGATATTTTCTTTTATTGTGCTTTTGGCTTTGATCATTACCAATGCGGTTGTTGATGGAGGTGGCATATTTTTCTTCTACACTCAGTAAGCTACATTTACACATATCTTGTATATTCTAGTTTTTCTACAGCTATTTAGTGATGAGATAGGTTAAACAAGTTATAGACAAGCTGGCTTGAAGTTGCCCAATGCTCCTAGACTTGTATGCATGCTTTCTTTATTGAGAAAGAAATAAAAGGCTATTATTTTTTGCTCTATATATTTAATTTGCACTTGTTCCTAATTTATTGCTAACTCAATAACTTTGCTTATACATTCACTTATTTATTAGTTTTTTTCAATTCGAATCCAGTATTAGGGATTTTGAAGAAAATTTTCATTGTAGGTTGCAGTTTACTTTGTACTATACGAAAAGGATTCAAGTCTTCTGTTCCTTCTCTGTACCCTCAATAATTTCTCCCCTTTGAAATACTGTCCCAACTAAGTGAAAAATGACACTTCTCTCTTAGTTGGTAGTAAACTTTTTTTTGCACATAATTGTTAGTATTGTGTTGATTAGGGACAGAATATTTGAGTCCATCTGGTCACATATGTCAACATTGAAGAACTTTTATAGTTTTCAAGGCACATGTGTATATTGGAAGAAAATGACTAAATGATTAACTTTTATGATAAAACATCACTGTCGTAATCTTCCCTCTCGGGTCTGTTGGTTAGAAATAGGCTGATTCTTTCTTTCTTTCTTTCTTGCCGAGCAGGTGGACATTTACTTTGGTCACTATTTACTTTGGGGTAAAACTTCTCATCTTCAAGTCATCTGATATTATAATAATAAAATTGCATTTTCTTTGATCTTTCGATTTGGTTTATATGGCATTCTGTAACTTACAGGTTCATGTGGTCATTAGAGCAAACAATTGAACCTATTAGTTGACTTTTCTTTTCTGTGTTTTCATTTTATATCTTCTCTTAGTGACTTCTGCTCTCAATTTCACTTTCAGCTTGGGTCTTGTGTTTCCATATATGGATGTTACTATAAACACAATCAAACTTATTTAGAGGCTGAAGAAGGCTCTTATGTGGCTCCTTCACTTGATGGGACTGCAGAATTACCTACCCTGTATAAGAATTCCAGTGCCTATCAGGAGCCCCACTCTAGGAATACTGCTGGTGTATGGGGTTACATTTTTCAAATAATTTTTCAGGTGATTTTTTCTTCAAGATTTTATTGGAGGTATATATATATATATATATATATATATATACTTTTGTGCTTTAATTCCTAGAGTTA